AGAAACAGAAGTAACAATCCTAAAATTCATAACGGAACTGCAAAGGACCCTGAATAGCCAAAACAATCTTGAGAAAGAAAAAGCTGGAGGCATCATACCTCCTGATTTCCAAATATGTTACAAAGTCACAGTAATTAAAATATTATCATATTGGACATAAATACAGATATACCAACCAATAGAATAAAATAGATAACCCAGAAATAAACCCACACATATAAGTCAATGGATCTTCAACAAAGATGCTAAGAACAATACAATGGGGAGAGTCTCTTTAACATATGGTGCTGGGAAAACTGGATATCCATATACAAAAGAATGAAAATGGACACTTACCTTTACGTCAGACACAAAAATCAACTCAAAATGAATTAAAGACTTCAACGTTAAGCCCTAAAACTATAAAACTCTTAGGAAGGCCAGGCACGGTGGCTCACGCCTGTAATCCTAGCACTCTGGGAGGCTGAGGCGGGTGGATGGCTCAAGGTCAGGAGTTCGAAACCAGCCTGAGCAAGAGTGAGACCCGTCTCTACTATAAATATAAATTAATTGGCCAACTAAAAATACATAGAAAAAATTAGCCAGGCATGGTGGCGCATGCCTGTAGTCCCAGCTACTTGGGAGGCTGAGGCAGAAGGATTGCTTGAGCCCAGGAGTTTGAGGTTGCTGTGAGCTAGGCTGACGCCACGGCACTCTAGCCCAGGAAACAGAGTGAGACTCTGTCTCAAAAAAAAAACAAAAAACAAAAAACAAAAAAAACTCTTAGGAAAAAAACAAGGGAAATGCTCTATAACAATGGTCTTGGCAATGGTTTCTTGAATTTGACACCTAAAGCACAAGGAACAGAAGCAAAAACAGACAAGGTGGACATCAGAGTAAAAAGCTTCTGCTCTACAAAGGAAACAATAAACAGAGTGAAAAGGCAACCTATGGAATGGGAGAAGATATTTGCAAATCATGTATCTAATAAGGGGATAATATCCAAAATATATAAGGAACTATTAAAACTCAATAGTAAGAAAACAAAAAACCCAATTTAAAAATGGGCCAATGATTTTAATAAACATCTCTCCAAAAAAGATTTACAAATAACCAACAGGTATATGAAAAGACGCTCAACATCACTAATCATAAGGGAAATGCAAATCAAAACCATGAGACATCATTTCACACCTGTTAGGATGGCCATGAAAAAAGCAAAGTATAAGTATTGACGAGGATGTGGAGAAATTGGAACCCTTGTGCGCTGTTGGCAGGGATGTAAATGGTGCAGTGCAGCTGCTCTGGAAAACAGTATGGAGGGTCATTCCCAATTCTGAGTGTTTATGCAAAAGAACTGGAATCAGAATCTCAAAAAGAAATACTCCCGTTTACTGCAGTGTTGTGACAATAGCCAAGATGTGGAAACAACCTAAATGTCCACTGATGGATAAATGGATAATGAAAATGTGAAAAAAAATATATATATATATATAATGGAATATTATTCAGCCCTAAAAAATAAAGGAAATCCTGCCATATATGACAAAATTGATGATGGATCAAAATGATGAATGAATCTTGAGGACACTATGCTAAGAGAAATAAGTGAGTCACAGAAGGTCAAATACTGCATGAGTCTACTTACAGGAGGTATTTAAAATAGTCAAAACTCACAGAAACAGAAAGTAAAATGGTGGTTGCCAGAGGCTGGGGACAGAAGTGGGGAGCTGCTGTTCAGTGAGTATAAAGTTTCAGTTATACAAGATAAATTCTAGAGATCTGCTGAACAACACTGTGCTTATATATAACAATACTGTATGCTTAAAAACATAAGGGGGTAGGTATCATGTTATCTGCTCACCACAAAAAATTAAAAATGTTAAAAAGATGGACACATCAGTAAAACAATACTGACATAAACCAATCTGCCATGACCCATAGCCTTCACTGAAACCCGAATGCTCCTCTAGGTCTCTTTGGCTTCTACAGATGGACCAGAAACTCAGCAGTGTTCTCATGGCTTTCAATGTTCTGGTACGAGTTCTTTAACTTAATTCAAATATTGACCCCAAATAACTTAAGATTTCTTTCCCCATGTGTTCATGACAGAAACCTATTTCAAACTAGCTTAAGCATAAAGGAAAATGTTTTGGTCTACAGTAGCTCTAGCTCCCCTATGGCTAGACCGACGTCCAGTATTATCAGGGCTCTCTCTGATTCCATCTCAAGTCCCCTCAGCTTCACCATACACAAGGGTCTCTGCATGTAATAGGCAAAATGGGGCAGGGAGCCCCAGACGCAGCTCATGCTGGCTTAGTTGTCATTAAGAAAGAGCATGGGGTAGATTGGGACACTGCCAATAAGGCACGCCAGGGTCACTTGGAGGGGGGAAGCTGTTCCCTAAATGAATCAGAAAAATGTTTGGGAATTAGTACCAAACAGACCAAAACTATAGCTACACCATTCCAAACTCCAGTGCTCTCACGGTTTTTGCTTTTTTAAATATCAGCTATAATTTCACATTGGCATTATTACACAAATAAATTTTATTTCAAAGCAGTTCAGTCATCCAATTATGAAAACACTCAGACTAATTTAACCAGACTGTATAGAATATCACATATGAAATGTGTTTCTATCTTTGCACTTGTGTCCATTAAGGGAAAAAAATAATAATTAGCTGTCTTTATATAGCATCCAAAGCAAAGAATGAAAACAATGGAATCATTTGAGGTAGCTACGTATGCTTTCATTTTCCATCCTCCGGTTAGAAAACAAGTACACAGGTTGATTAAAAATTTTTTAATTAATAAAACCATTGTATCACTTTGCAGAATTAAAGCACTAAATGGGATCTCCCAAGACTTTCCCTCATTTTCTTCCTTTAGAGTCTATAACATTACCAACCAGTAGTTATGCACCCTACCTCTGCAGGTCCTCAACTCATGGAACATTCTTTACATTTTAACTCCTGTACAGCAAAGAAAAAGATGTAACACATTGACACAAATACAACCCAGAAAACTCATGAACACCTATGTGCCGGACATTCTTCTAGGTACTAAAGGTATGGCAGTGAATAAATTTCCCACAAAACTTACCAACTCCATCTTTATTAAGTTATAGCTATCAGTTATCTAACATAGCCATGATCATGAGATTTTTTCCCACTATACAGGTGGTCCCTGGGTTACAGGCAAGATATATGATCATGAGAACATCTTTAGGTCAGATTTGTATGTAATTTGGATCCCTGATGAACAGTGCATATACAGTGACAATATCATACTTTAATGGCTCATATATGGTAATAGTAATAAAGTATAATAATATAATACCCCAGTACTGTAAGTTACAGAAATTATTGTGCTCTTTCAATTCCTAGGCTAATAGGAATGTTACACTTACTTTGACCTTCTAACCAAATCAGTGGTTTCCTTTTCATTTCAATACCTTTAATTTCAAACCTTTCCATTTCAATAATTAATCTGCTACTCCTAGTAATAATTGATGCTTTCATTGGAGCACTGCCTTGCACATGTTCTATTATTCTTACTTTATCCTTTACAATTGTTCCAATAGTTAAGCAACTAAAATTATTCCCATTAAGGGAAAAATATGAATGATGGCATCTGGCTTTTCTCTAAGCACTCAATCATTTTTAGTTTCATTTCCACTGTAATCACCTCTTTGTAGCAGGTTCACCTGGACTTCCAGTGGATTTTCACTTTGGAGGCATGGTCATAAGGGTAAACACAGACTCACACAATTGAATAAAAAAGTTTAGATGAAAGAAAGTGACGCTGGGAGTAAGTGATCCAAACAATGAGACTAGTCACTAGCGTAAAGATGCTGCACCAATGAAGCACTTACGCCATGCATGTTTGCTTACACGAATGGAATAAACTGACTCCTGAATTGTTAATTTAATTATAAATTATTCTTATGGGGAGCCTTGGGAGCCTATTCCTAAGTACAGAATGCCATAAGTCGGGTCATCCAAAATCCAGGGACTGCCTGTACTTCACTATTATTAATACTTTTGACTGACTTCAACTTACTTGAATTACCTTAACATAATTCTTCTATAACTACCTAGGAATTTGTCAGTAACTCTGTTCTACTTCCTGTGAAGTAGTATGCTTAATCCCTAATATGTGGCTTTCACTTGTCAGTGATTATCGTCGTAACATTTCTGAGTGGGATATATAATTCCTCTTGAACAGATAAACAGGGGGAGGAGTAGGGAACAAGTGTTGACGAACACTCTTTAAGCCACAACTTTAACTGTAGTTTTTATTTTGAATTGTCAATTCTAATCCCCAAGTTACACTTTGACCTTTAAGGACAACTGTTGTGTAGTTATATATATATATATATATAAAGCATAGCCTGCTATTTCTTTTGCTGACTTGTTAATACTTTAAACATTTTCCATCTGGAAGATATATATAGATTTAGATGTGTGGGGTGAATATAAATATTTCAAGACTTTTGCCATGGCATAACAAAAATGTATAAACCAATGCTCATCATCACTCAGGTGAGCAAGAAAACCAGGGTTGTTATTTTCTGCTTTTCAAGAATGGTTCTTCATTATTTGCCACTTTATTTGTCTACCTTAATTCCCTGGCATGTTCATTTAACACAGTTATTTTGCCCTGGAAGTAAATATTATAAAATATTAATAATATCTACTTTGTTACTTTATAAATGTCTAGTATTTTTCAATAGTAAGATTCACAATTTAGTCTCTCCCATTACATTAAGTGCACACATGGGATGCATTCATGTATCTAATCAGAAACATCCACCCATCAACAGAGGTCCGAAAAAGACAAGAAAGACACCGTGCTCTGTACTACTACTCAATACTAGTTTTAATTTAAGACCAGGCTTCGCTAATTAAAACTACACTTTAAAAATACCTTAGTAATTGAGGGGTAAGGGAGAAACTTTTTAAACAGAAGGTACAACAAGCTTCAATGCCTAAAAAAAATGACAAAATGTGACACACATTTAACAACCAAAAAACTTTATTGAATTACAAATTTAAAAATGGACCACTTAATTTAAAAGTGGGACTATCTTAGTATTATTATTAAACTCATTCTTTCAAAAATGTACTTTTTGGATTGATAAAACCAAAGATTCAATTATGAACTAATGAAGTAGGGGTGGGCTGGTACCAGTGGGCTAATTCTGAACATGGCCATTTAAATGCTGTTTTCTGTAGTATTACATCAAAATGATTTGCAATAAGAAACTGGAAAAGGGAAGCAAAGGAGAGTGCAAAGCATGTACTGAGGTCTTTCTATAGAAATCTCACAGAATGCAGATGCAGCATGATAAAATGTAGACTTTGCAACAGTGGCCTTTAATGTGTGCTAGAGAAAATGTACTCTAAGGAACCTACATGAAAACCATTTTTTTATTCTTATTCCAAACAGAAAAAATGGTACACACTTAAACAAAAGGAAAAACTTAACTGTAAGATCTGTACTATGGAACTACTTGCTATAGCCTATCTATTCAGTTTGATCAATAACCTCATTCATTGTGCAACAGAAAAAGTCAGCAAATAAGACTCAAGACAAAAGTATTTTCTACCAATCTCCATATGGAAAGACCACAGCTTTAATGATTTATATAATCCTTAAGCTTAATCCTTGGTCAGTACAGATTTCCAAACCAAAATCAAATCTTGAACTGTTTACAATAACTAACTATACTAAGATGCTAAGATATCATTCTCAGTATGTCTTCCTATGAGGGAAAAAATAATAATAGTCAGAAGCTTTCATTCTTTGCCTGTGAGAAGATTTATGAAAAGCCTACAAAAACTACAATGGTGTTCTTGTGCAAAACTAAATACAAAGTCGAACAGGTAAATAAACAACAAAACCAAACTGATTTCAACAAAGTCAAGTCATGTTTCCAGAAGTCAAATCTATTAAGAACAAGCAATATACATGTATAAGAAATTACAAGAAATGATGATCAGGCTAGTTACAGATGCAAAATAGTATCTAATATCCTAGGCTTGTGAACATAATAATTAAAATCAAATTCATATGCTAGTTCAATTATATACAATTTAGATAAGCTGGTCAAGTATTATTTGATACACACCATATTTGGTAAACCTAAAATTATATTACCTTTTCTCCTCCTTTAATATTTGTAGATACATGCCAATATGGAAAAAAATGTAATTTCCATTTATGTATTAATAACAGGATAACAGTAGATTTCTATTGTGTATGTTTCACACTATTAAAAAACGTACATTTTTCTTTAAGAAGAAAAAATAAAAATAAATTGTCAGAAGTTTAATTGGTAAAAGTTTAATATCAACTTATAAAAATGAAAAAATAGTTTTGAAACATACAATTATCGTACGGTCTTTCCTACTGATCTGAAACTATAGAAGGCATTTAAAGAAGGGATGTTAGGTCAAAAACAAAGACTATTCCAAGGGATGTATGTTGCTTTAAAAATCTGATATGCAGGAAAACTAGTTGCTTGGCTTAGTTTTAAAGCTAATTACAAAATCCATTTTCTTAATGGTCCAGACATTTTGCCAATTCTTCCAACTCAACAGAACTGTCAAAAAAGAAAAAATATTTTGTGAGACCTTTAAATACAAACAATTGGGTATATCCCCCATTTAATATAGCATACAACATATACCTTTTATTGTTTTTATAAAAAAAGCATTTTTTGAAAAGATGCTATATTTTTCACACATAATAATCACCTAAGTGTCTTACTTTCCCAACTTAGAATTAGTAGGAACAGGTAACCAAAGAACTATTATAAACATTTTTAGCATTTTAAAGTACATCTCTTCTTAAGGTTTTCAGGGTAAGAATATTAACAATTCTAAATGTAAACTTCTAGAATATGCCATGCTAGGCCTCAGCTTTCTACCCTACACTGAACTTTGTTAAATCCATAATTACTATGTCAAAACTTGTGCTGCAAACTGTATGTATTCAAACCAAACTGCACTATATGCTTCATAATAAAAATCCATGGTGCAAAACAAATCTAAGACAGCAAAGCCAAATTTGCCCAACAAGATTGAAAAAAAACATGAATATCTCCCTCTTAGACCAATATAAACAACTTCTGCCACCTCAGAATGATAGGAGATAATATTTCAAACCATGAAGAAACTCTCAATACCAGTAACCTTTCTAGACCAGAACTAAATCTTTATATATAATAAAATGAGTTCTGGTTCCAAATCTTTTAAAAGAGTGTCTAGGACCAAAGTCCCAAATACTTGTGGAAGCAATCGATCTAGCTTCCAACTCGCTTCTGATTTTCAGAAAATGCTTTATGCTATATGAATAATTCAAAATAAGCATTAAACCAAAAAGTCTGTTTAAGTATAACTGGGGTGGGAGGGGAGAATCTTATACAAACTTTACAAAAACTAGCATTTTTGGAACACTGACAATTACCAGATGTTGCAAATATATTATCTGTACTCATCACAACCTGCAACGTAGGTATCATTTACATTTAATACATGAGAAAAATACAGTTCAGTAATGGGAAGTAGCAAGGGAGCTCAAAATCACTTTGTATGACTCCAAAACCTAAAAGTTCCTACCACAGGGCCTCCCAACCAAAGACCCTGAGCATCCCCCATCTAAGTTAATAATAAAAGTCTTCTTAGGGCTGAAATATAATTCTTCTTCCAATTTAAAATTTTATTTTTGTGGTTCACAAAATCACTCAAGAAAGAATCATTTAAATAAAATAAACTTGCCCATGTGGGGCTAATTCAAGAGTACACAGGCAATATGAAGGCTTAGTGAAAAGCCTAGGAAACCAGTGTTCATCTGTAATTCCTAAAACAAACACTAAAAATCACTGCATTTGATTTCAACAGGTAAAGAAAATTCTCCAAAATCAAAATCTAAGAAGACAAGTAACAAACATGTACAGATTCTCTGGAAGTACAAGAGTAGAAATAATTTAATGAATATAGTATATACAGAACTGTGACATAATAATTGAACATTTAAGATTCACTTCCCCTGTTCTTGCACCAAAACAATGTAAGGGTGGTAATATCAAGTTATCACACTTTACAGTATATTCCATTACAAGTAGTCAGAGACTTCAGTAGTACTGGCTAATGTGAGCATTTATTTGTATATATTTAGATACCTAGGTAGACTTATGAAAAGACCAGAAGAAATCATTCTATTATAAATGAGTATAGTATGAATCCAAGAGAGTGCCATACCTTCCATCGATTTCCACATTCATTACAGACAACAAATGTTGTCATTGGTTCATCAGCACTACGTGTTTGTACCTGCAGCAAAATTAAAAATATCAAATTAATTTTTGCAGTACCATAAAAAAATCGAACTTAAAAAAGAACATTATATTTAAATGTATATGAGAAACACAATAGTGCCACAATAACATGAATAAAAGCCTGAAACAAGTTCAAGCTAAAAAAATGTCAAAAGTACATATATTTCCAAACTTCATTTTTTAAAATCCTTCCTTCTTTCATGTTTAATCCATCCCAGATAAATGGGAAAATTAAAGCCATTATACTTTTTACAAATAGCTAATATTTTTTAAATTATCAGTTAGAAGCACAGAAATGTATAAATTTAAACATAATTCTATTATCTTACAAATTAGCAAAGATGTAAAGAGTATTTCATTCTGACAAATGTAACCAGCCACAACCTTTCTAAAAGGCAGCAAGAAGATAAGCCTTAAATAACCCATTATCTGTAACCTAGAAACTTATCTGATTTAAGATAATTAGAAACACAAAGATTTGTGTATAAGGATGATTAAAGAGTATAATTTTATAATAATAGCACAAATACTGGAAATAAATATCTAACAGGAAAATAATAAGATAAATTAAGAGTATATCCATCTGGTGGAATATTACGCAGCCATTAAGATATTTACAAAGGGTTTTTTTTTAAACAAGAAAATGCTTACCTTACAGTAACTAAGTAAAAAGAAGTATGTAGAATACATTTTTTTTACAGTATTTTCCTCCAACTATATTTAGAAAAAAATTCACAAAATATTTCAGACACCAAATATTGATACTGCTCTCTTTAAAAGGCAGATTAATGATTTTTAAATTTATTATTCATATATTTCTATATTTTCCTAACTTTCTATAAAAGCAGGTACTGTTATACTACTCTAAAAAGCTAATATGACCAAGAGGCCGGGCGCTGTGGCTCACGCCTGTAATCCTAGCTCTTGGGAGGCCGAGGCGGGCGGATTGCTCAAGGTCAGGAGTTCAAAACCAGCCTGAGCAAGAGCGAGACCCCGTCTCTATATAATAGAAAGAAATTAATGGCCACTGTATATATATAAAAAATTAGCCGGCATGGGCGCATGCCTGTAGTCCCAGCTACTCGGAGGCTGAGCAGAAGAGTCACTCGAGCAGGAGTTTGAGGTTGCTGTGAGCTAGGCTGACGCCATGGCACTCACTCTAGCTGGCAACAAAGCGAGACTCTGTCTCAAAAAAAAAAAAAAAGCTAATATGACCAAGAAAAAATTAAAAGATAACAAAGCTGGCCTGGGTGCGGTGGCTCACACCTGTAATCCTAGTACTCTGAGAGGTGAAGGCAGGAGGATCGCTTGAGCTCAGGAGTTCAAGATCACCTTTAATAAGATTGAGACCCCATCTCTGCTAAAAACAGAAAAATTAGCTGGGCGTGGCGGCGCATGCCTGTACAGGCCCAGCTACTTGTGAGGCTGAGGCAAGAGGATCACCTAAGCCCAGGAACTTGAGATTACAGTGAACTATGATGACACCATTGCACTCTAGTCTGGATAACTGAGTGAGACCCTGTCTCAAAAAAAAAAAAAACAGAAAAGAGAACAAAGCAAGAAAAAAAAAAAAACAACTGTGGGAGGCTGAGGTGGGAGGATAGCTCAAGGTCAGGAGTTCAAGACCAGCTTGAGCAAGAGAGAGACCCCATCTCTACTAAAAATACAAAGAAATTTATTGGCCAACTAAAAATATATAGAAAAAAATAGCTGGGCATGGTGGCACATGCCTGTAGTCCCAGCTACTCGGGAGGCTGAGGCAGGAGGATTGCTTGAGCCCAAGAGTTTGAGGTTGCTGTGAGCTAGGCTGATGCCACGGCACTCTAGCCCAGGCAACAGACTCTGCCTCAAAAAAACAAACAAACAAAAAAAAAAACTGATATGATTTTCTGAAGATTTATCTAAACAAGATTATAGACTTCTGGATTTCTCCACTGAAGGCAATTACTAGAATCAAGGGTCTCAAAAACAGAAAGGTTTATTTCTTTCAACTATACATTCCTGAATGAAGATGACAGAGCATGATTAAAGTTAAAAGTTAGTCAAGTTTAATTAAGTTATGGCAAGAACCTAAATACTAACAATGCTGCATTTTGAATAAGGTACATTTAAATTTAGTGTGAGATGATGAAATCCCAGTTCAAATAGCAGAAGCTTCATGGTGCCAGTAAACTATCGACATGACTTTTTAACTTCAAAGTCCAAAGGAAAATAAAGAAGCAACATTCTCAAAACACCAGTTTTCTGCTTGAGGCTTTCAGATAAAAATGGTTTGAAAAAATCCATCTGCTGTACTTAATACTAATATCCAGGGCCCTAAAAGTAGAGTAGATATGAGGAAGCTTTTGCTGTCTGGGAAAAATTTTAGTCTCTTGATGGGTACATTGTAACCAAGAGTCAGACTTGATTCTTTTTTTGTTTGTTTGTTTGTTTTTTTACTCAACATGAACTTTGACTAAATACTTGATTCTTTTATACCTGTCATTTGCATGAGAACTTTTGGAAGGTTTCTATATAAAGATCACTTTTTGATTCTAAGAATATCATATTGATTTCATCTCCAGGCTGGGTTCTTTCTGTTAAAAGAAACTTGGTATTTACGTTTTTTATCTTAGTTATTTACAATCTGATTATGTATTTTAAATATAACTTTTCTTCTAAATATGTTTTAATGAAGCTTTACCTTTTAAATAACTTTATGTTTTACTTAATATTTTCTACCACATGGTATTTTTAGGATAGTATTTTCATTCCTAACATTTTTTTCCATAACTAAAATAAAGCAGTTCAAACTCAGAATTTTCTGAGACCACTTTCATGGATGTTGATAAATTTTACTTTTTTATTTTATTTTTTATATTGTTATTTAATATAATTTTAATTTTATTTTTCCAGTGAGAAGCAATACATCATATGTTGATAAATTTTAACCCTTTGCACTCGCTTGCTTTTTTCTCGATTCCTTTCTTCTCCTCAGGATTTAATTTTTTAAATACCCCAGATTTTACAAAGCGCGCAGTAGAATAAAAAACTGGAGTTTCTTTTCATACAAACTTATTTATTTGGATTTTTTTATATTTCAAATTATTGATACATTCAAAGAGTAATTTTAATCTCTATAATTTTTGCTAACCATGTCGAGTCACACTGGACATCCAAGTGCAAAGGGTCAATAACTATCAGTAGTAAAACTGCTACAAAATAAAACTCTGAAATATAAACCTGTGTCTAAATGAAAGACTTCAAAAGGGCTTTAGACTGGTTAAATAAACATGAAAATATGCTCAGTGTTACTAATCACCAGAGAAATGCAAATCAAACCCCAGTCAGAATGGCTTTTATTAAAAAGTCCAAAAACAATAAATACTGACATGGATGCAGAGAAAAGAACACTTATACACTATTGGTGGGACTACAAATTAGTATAATTTCTATGGAAAACAGTATGGAGATTCCTCAAAAGACTAAAAATCAACCTACCATTTGATCCAGCAATCGCACTAGTATTTACTAATTTACTTTACTAAGAAAAAGAAGTCATTTTATCAAAAAGACACTTGCACTCGAATGTTTATTGCAGCACAATTAACAATTGCAAAGATAAGGAACAACCCAAATGCCCAACAATTCATGAGTGGATTAACAAAATGTGGTATGCATATATCATGGAATACTACTTAGCCACGAAGAAGGATGACTTAATGCCTTCTGCAACAATTTTGATGGAACTGGAGATCATTATCCTAAGTGAAGTATCTAAAGAATGGAATAACAAACACCACATGTACTCACTATTAAATTGGAACTAACTGATGAGCACACATCAGAGGGAAGTAAATCTCAAAAGAAATCAAGCAAGGGGTGGAGGGTGGAATAGATGGGCAAAAAGCTACCTAACAGGCACAATGAACACTATCTGGGTGACAGGCACACTTTTAACCCTGACTCAAACATTATAAAAGTGATCCATGTAATCAAAAACATTTGTACTCCCATAATACTTAGAAATTTTAAAAAATTAGTATATCTGAAAATGGAGTATTAGATGCCTATTAAAAAAAAAAGGCAGAAGCTCACATAATATTCTACCATATGTGTTTAGGAAAAGGAAAACAAAAATATACTAGTATCTGCATGTATACACATAAAACACATAGAAAGCTAAACAACAAACTAGTAACCCTGGTTTACATCCAGTGAGGGGGAACCAAGGTGGCTACAGGCAAAAAAGGGAGGCAAATTTTCTATTCATAATCTTTTGTACCTTTTCAATTTTTAACCTTGAAAATATAACTACTCCAAAAAAATTTTTTTAAATAAAGGCTGATTTCTACAAGTTAGATAATTTAGTGATGTTATTTTTTTAAGTGTTTAATTTTCTGTGAGAAAATTCAATTCCTTAAATCTATTATCTGAAACATAATAAGTTGTTCTTTAAGAGGAAAATTTTGAGTTTAGCCAATGATACAGCAAAAAACCCTATCTGGCAAATGGAATTAAGAAAGGAATAAAAACCATTTTCATATATGCACATATAACCACAATAACTATAATGTGGTTCTTTTCTGCCACTCAAGAACAGGAAGGGCAGTCACATCATATATGAACGTAAAAGACATCGATATATTACCCTCATGCCAAGTGAGGGAGAGTGAAGAACCTTTTTATATTTTTAAATTTTATAATCCTGCAAAATGAAAACAATTATGGCCTATTTAACATAGAAACCAATAATCAACTGCTTATGAACTCTTAGAAAAAAACAGGGTCATTTTATTAAATCTTATATTTTATAAATTTTATTTGAAACAGCTTTCACAGTAACTATTCCCATGAAAGTATAAATTAACCCATTTTCAATTAACTGGATTTCACTAGTATTAAGAAAGGATTCTTATGCTTAAGAAAGAGAGCATATCTCCTCTTGAGAAACAGCAAAATACAGTAGTCCCCCATTATCAATGGTTTTTGTTTTCCATGGTTTCAGGTCCCTGTAGTTTGAAAATATTAAATTAAAAATTCCAGAAATAAACAAGTCATAAGTTTTAGTTTGGATGCTATTCCAAGCAATGTGATGAAACCTTGCACTGTCCCACTACATCCTGCCTGGGACATGTACCACCCTTTGTCCAGTGTATCCTCACTATAGACACTACCCACACACCCCCACCCTCACACCCCCGTTTTATTCACTGACATCGTCATGGCTCGATGATCCAGGATTGCCCAAAGCAGATGATCCTCCTTTTGATTAATTGTCAGCAAGTCAATAGTAGCCTAACACTAAGTCACAATGCCTATGTCATACACTTCACTTCATCTCATGAAGAAGGGTGAATACAGTACAATAAGATATTTTCAGAGAGAGAGAGACAACATTCACATAAGTTTTATAACCATATATTGTTATAATTGTCCTGTTTTATTATTACTTACTGTTGTTAATCTCTTACTGTTCCTGATTTATAAATTAACCTCTACCATAGGTATATATGGTATAGATAGGTTTCCTATACAAGGAAAAAAACAAATCATAACATTATATATAGGGTTTGGTACTATCCATGGTTTCAGGCATCCACTGGGGGTCTTGAGATGTATCTCCTGAAGATAAAGGGGGACTTACTGTACTGGTAATTGTCTTTGCTATTTGTTTTGAAACAGGAGTTGCAAGTATTCATAATATAAAAATAAGAATCTATAAACAATCACAAACCTGTGTGTAAGTGCAATTCTTCTTTTTACATTTGCCACACGTGAACAAGTCAGTCTGGGTTCCACCAGTCTTGGCCATCTGATGCTCTCTGATGGCTTCTTTGGTCAAGTTTTTCCGCATCTCTTTGAGCTCATCACTGGCCATTTCCTATCAGGGAGGTGGCAATACCATTCAGTTACAGATATCTTCTATATATATACTGAATGCTTTTATGCTCAATCAGCCTAATAATAATATAAGGAAAGCCAACTTTTACAGTTTTAAAACTGTAAAATTAGTATGTTTCCTTGAAGGACTAAAGGAGTTTACTTCCTTTTAAAATTTCTTCAAATATTTATAAGTTTGCATGTGAAAATTGGATTTAAGTACTGTTTAAAGGCTATAAACAATGTAAACCTGTAGTAATGAGTACCTCTAGTGTCCACATTATGGTCTCTAAATACTTTTGCCTTCCCTCCCTAAAAAGAAGCCAGGGACCTATGGGAGAATGTCTGATTCCGGTTTTGAGGTGAGAAATGCACAGGATATGCCAGGGTCATCTTCTTGTGCAAGAAAACATAAAAGCTACCAAAGACTATTGTGGTTGAGTCAAATAGACAAAGACCAACATAAAGGAGCTCCTATTGGCCAAAGATAGGACAATTTCTTCAGTCATCAAAATAAATTACTGTACAGAACCAATTCCAACAGGATAAATAAAAGCCACAAGTCCATGATGATACTTAAGAGAGGGCATACACATACAAAAAGCAAACAAAAGCCTTCCTTCTGCCATCTAGCCCCCCCAAAATAAAATAAAATATGAACAAAAGCAACCATTGGCATTAACTAGGGTACCACCAACTCCTCATTCTAATAACTGGTGACTAAAGGGAAAGAATTGTAACATTTGTCTTACCTTTCCTATCCAAACCAACAGGGTAAGCAACAGCCCCAAGTTTATAAAAGAGAATACTTTTTCATCAAAGAAATCTATCTCATAAAATGCAAACGGAATGACAGAATGTTAGAAATCACTGTTTTGTAAATCCTGAGGAAATGACCAACTCAGGCTAGGATCATCATTAGATGAATCCTCTAGACAAAAGGTCGACTGACAACTTTTATTACAATGGAGGAATCAGACTGTCAACTACCCAAACCCACTGACAAACCTCAGCACCCTAAAAGTAAAACAGCAGACATTAATGCCTCCTTATGTGACGCAACCAACTAAAAAGCACCACTTATGAATTTATGCAGAAAAAAGGTTGAACTTAAATATAAACAAGCCTATATATAACTAGCTTACAGTTTACAGAAAATAGAGGAGATAGAGAAAACATCATAAGGAAGAAACAAATTCATATTGTTGGATACAGAAGAAATGAACTGGTTTCTTCAAGGGGTCAATGTCACAAAGGAAAAAAAAAAACAAGGGGTATGGTGTGAGGGGCAGAACTGCTTATTTTTAAAATAATACAAAAACTTAAGAGACCAAACTACAGGTAATGTGCAGACTTTGGATCCTAATACAAAGTAAATGTATAATCAGAAAAATATGAGAGGTGGACAGTGCTATAGTTCCAGCTGCTCAGGAAGTGGAGGTGGGAGGATCACATGAGGCCAGGAGTTCAAGACTAACCTAGACAACATAGCCAGACCCTGTCTCTACAAAAAATTTTTCTAAAAATTAGCCGGGAGTGGTGGCACACATCTGTAGTCCCAAGAACTCAGGAGGTAAAGGTGGTAGGATCACTTGAACCTAGGAGTTTGAGGCTACAGTGAGTTATAATTGTGCCACTGCACTCCAGCCTAGGTGACAGAGCAAGACCTTGGCTCCAAAAAGAAATAAAAAATTAATTTAAAAAAATACACAAATATAAACTACATATTAAATAATACCAGGGGGCTGGGCGCGGTGGCTCATGCCTGTAATCCTAGCACTCTGGGAGGCCGAGGCGGGCGGATCACTTGAGGTCAGGAGTTCGAAACCAGCCTGAGCGAGACCCCATCTCTACTAAAAATAGAAAGAAATTAATTGACCAACTAAAAATATATAGAAAAAATTATCCAGGCATGATGGCACATGCCTGTAGTCCCAGCTACTCAGGAGGCTGAGGCAGGAGGATTGCTTGAGCCCAGGAGTTTGAGGTTGCTGTGAGCTAGGCTGACACCACAGCACTCACTCTAGCCTGGGCAACAGAATGAGACTCTGTTTCAAAAAAAAAATAAAATAAATAAAATAAAATAAAAAATACAATACAATAAAAATAAATTTAAAAATAAATAAATAATCCAGGGAATTTTATTGTTAGCTTTGTTGGATGTGGTGATGACAATACAGTTATGTAAGAAATACATCCTATTTTTAAAGACATTTCCCAAGTATGTAGAGGTAAAAGAATATAATGTCTGGGATCTGCTTGAAAATAATTTAGGGGAAAAGAAGGAAAAGCAAAGCAATAGATGAAAAGGGTGACAAATTGTAGAAAATATATGAAGCTTGTGTGATGGATATAATGGATCTCATTACACTATGTTCTCAACTTTGTAAAAGCTTTAAATTATTTTAGTGAGGTTTTGAAATGCTGAACTTTACTTTTGTTGTTGTTGTTGTTTTGAGAAAGGGTCTCACTCTGTTGTCCAGGATAGAGTGCATTGGCATCCTCATAGCTCACTGCAACCTCAAACTCCTGGTTTCAAGCAATCCTCCTGCCTCAGCCTCCCAAGTAGCTGGGACTACAGGTGCGTACTACCGCATCTGGCTAACCAGCTACAACATTCCCTTAATAAGCCAAAGCTATTCCAGTGCAAGACCCTAACTCTCTTCAATTCTATGAAGGCTAAGAAGGGTGAATAGGTTAAAGAAAAGTGAGAAGAGAGTAAATGTTGGTTCATGAGGTTTAAGAAAAGAAGCAATCTCCATAACACAGTGCAAAGCATAAGGTGAAGCAGCAAATGCTCATGTAATAGCTGCAGCAAATTATCCAAAAGATCTAGCTAAGAGAATTGACACTAAATGACAAATTTTCAATGCAGATGAAACAGCCTTTTATTGGAAAGAGATGCCATCTAAGACTTTCAGAGCTAGAAAGCAGTAGTCTATGCCTGGCTTCAAAGCTTCAAAGGACAGGCTGAATCTCCTGTTAGGGGCTAAGGCAGCTTAAGTTGAAGCCAATGCTCATTTACAATTCTGAAAATCCTAGGGCTCTTAAGATAAATACATTTTAATAAATGTACTCTGAGCCACATAAATGTAATAACAGAGGCTGCATGACAGCTCATTTACCATGATTTACTGAATATTTTAAGATCACTGTTGAGACCAACTGCTCAGAAAAAAGATTTCTTTCAAAATATTAATGCTCACTGAGAATGTACCTGGTCACCTAATAGCTTTGAAGGAGATATACAAGGAAATTAACATTGTTTTCATGCCTGCTAACACAGTATTCATTCTACAGCCGACGAATCTAGGAATAATTTTGATGTTCAGGCCTTATTATTTAAGAAATACATTTTAGGCTGGGCGTGGTGGCTCACGCCTGTAATCCTAGCACTCTGGGAGGCCGAGGCGGGTGGATTGCTCGAGGTCAGCAGTTTGAAACAAGCCTGAGCAAGAGTGAGACCCCGTCTCTACTATAAATAGAAAGAAATTAATGGGCCAACTAATACATATAGAAAAAATTAGCCGGGCATGGTGGCACATGCCTGTAGTCCCAGCTACTTGGGAGGCTGAGGCAACAGGATTGCTTAAGCCCAGGAGTTTGAGGTTGCTGTGAGCTAGACTGATGCCACGGCACTCACTCTAGCCTGAGCAACAAAGCGAGACTGTCTCCAAAAAAAAAAAGAAAAGAAAAGAAAAGAAATACATTTTATAAGACTATAGCTGCCCTAGATTGTGATTCCTCTAATGGATCTGGTACACTTCAAAGTACACTGAAAACCTTCTGGAAAGGATTCACCATTCTAGATCACATTAAGAACATTTGTGATTCATGGGAGGTCAAAATATCCACATTGAACACGAATTTGGAAGAAGTTGATTCCAACCCTCATGGATGATTTTGAGAGGTTTAAGACTTTAGTGGTCAAAGAAACTACAGATGTGGTAGAAATAACAAGAGAACTAGAATTAGAAATGGAGCCTGAAGATGTGACTGAATTGCTACAATCTCATGAGCACACTAGAATGGATGAGTTGCTTCTTAGAAATGAGCAAAGAGTTGATTGAGATGAAATCTACATCTAGTGAAGATATTATGAGCATTGCTGAAATAACAACAAAGGATTTAGAATAGTCCATGAACTTAGTTGATAAAGCAGGAGCAGTTTACAAGAAGACCGACTACAATTTTGAAGAGTTCTACTATAGGTAAAATGCTATTAAACAGCATCACATACAACAACAGAGAAATCTCTGGAAGAGTCAATTGATGCCGCAAACTTCACTGTTTTCTTATGTTAAGAAATTTCCACAGCCACCCCAACCTTCAGCAATCGCCATCCTCATCAGTTTGCAGCCCTCACCATCAAGGTAAGACCTCCTACCAGCAAAAAGATTACAACTCACTTAAGGCTCAAGTTAGCATTTTATAGCAACAGAATATTTTTAAATTAAGGTATGTATATTTTTTATATATAATACTATTACACACTTAATAGACTACAGTATAAACATAACTTTAACATGCATGAAGAAACCAAAATATCTGTGTAACTTGCTTAATTATAATATTCCCTATTCAGTATGAATCAAATCTGCAGTATTTCCAAGGTATGCCTGTACACAGAAAGCTAAACTCACTTTCTTGAATGCTAAATAGTGAGACTATTTAGAGCTATTATCTATGAATAGCTATGTCTATAAATAGCAAGCTATGAATTTCATTTTTTCCATCAATCCCTACATAAAATTAAGAAATAATTATCAATTTTATAGCATTTAACCACAAAAAAAAGGTTAGCAGTTACAAAGTTTACTTGCAATTAGAGATTCAACTCTTAGATTCTACATCAATTCAAAAAAGTAAAACATTTTTGTTTTTAGACAATGATTTAATGATTAGACACAAAAAGCATGGCGACAGCCACAGAAGGGGACAGAGTATTATTGGTGTAATGGAATCAATCACCTTAAGTGTATAATATATACATGAAAATATATCACTAACAGTGATTTATTATATATGCACTATTTATATAATCCTCTATGATTTAAACAGGTTTTATACTTGACATCATGGAATCACATCATAGAAACTTCATATTCAGGTATACTCACCTCTGCTGTCATTCTTGCAAATAAGTCAGGAGGAATACTCCCACATAGTACATTTTTCCTTAAATTTGGATTCTTTGCATCTTTAAGATTTGATATCCTACTTCGTACTCTATTTTTGTATTTCATGTCTGTATTCCTTATTTCTTGATATATAGGTACCAGGCCGTTAAGGAAAAAAGGTAAAATTATAAAGGTAAGACTACTTTTTTTCTATTTTGCCAAACTAAGAATTTCTGAAATTTCTAAGCAGTTCACAAAACTGTTTCTAATTTAGAATAAGTTGAAAACAAAGCACAGATTGCTTGATATGCAGTTGGCAAATAATGACAGTACTTTTACGCTGTGCATGAGTAATGCTTTTTTCTTGTTTAATGTCAGCAGCATGTAAATCAATAAGGTTTCAAAGACTAACTCAGGTACTCAGCATAAGTAAGCCAATTTTTAAAAAAGAGCTTGAACTTATACAAGCTTTAACTTGCCCAAATCTGAATTCTACTAAGGATCCTAAAAGTCTCTATGGCCACATAGTTTCCTTTTAGCCTTTGAGAAGAGACCATTAGAGATGGCCCTGGGGAGTCACCTCTTTCCCCAGCTCAACAAGAAGCTAGTTTAGCAGGTTCTTCTCCCCAGAAGAGGCCATAACAGAGGCTGAGCCCTAGAGCAGCTCCCTTCCTAATGAGGCCATTTCCTCAACAGGACAGTTCCATGTCACACCATCCTCTATCCATATGGAGGACCCTTCTCCTGGAGCCCTTTCTGCAGTGCCCAGCATGAGCACACATCCCTCTGGGATAATGAATTCAGGGGTCTGTGTGTGCTCTGAGGTACCCCCAACTGAGAAATCTTCATATGTACATGTGTGTGTGTTTTCCATGCCCTTTTGCATAACTTACATTCAAATGCTACACCTCCAATCTGCAAGGTGGAAAAATAAAAAATGTCATCAACACTGTGTGCTTTACTTTTGAATAACAGCAAAAACAACACGAATGAAATGACATAGATGCCCCTCCCCTTTCTGAGCAAAACAATACAATCAAGATAGAAACTGAAGAATAAAATTCTGAATTCTATACCAGCAGAAAAAATTGCAATTAAGTTAGATTACTTAAAACAATTAGGAATATACACACAAAGGATATCTTCCTCAATCTGAGATCCTAACTCTTCCTCATCAGCTCCAATAGCAATGTAGTCATCTAAAAACAGGCATAAAGAATTGTCAAGTTACTGTAATAATATTAAAAGAAAATTCAATACAGGGTAATTAAATTGCAATCCTATTTCTTAAACCCCATTTGCCTTACAAAGCCTTTTAATTTCATTAGAAGCTGGTCTCTTCACTACCCACTCCATTCCTTTTCTGGGATTCACCTAATATCCACAGTGCTCCTGCAATGATGACTCCTTATCCCTCAGGAATGGGGAAGTAATTGATCTAGCAGGCAATTCCTCATTTCATAACTCCATAAATTCTCGTTGCTCCAGCAGAGAGTAGAGAAAGTTATAGAAAGAACTGTCTTGTCTCCTGTGACTCAGGCTTCAATGCAAAGAAACCATTCATTTCATCTGCCAATCACATATACGGACACACTTAGAAGACTCCTATACAAATATTCAAAAGGATAGAAGGAAATAAACAGAAACAAGGAAGAAAAAAGAAAAAAATATATATAAAGAGACAGTAAGGAAATCAAAGAAGAAAGGGCAGAGTAAGGAGAAAAACAGTTCAAACTAGCTCTGGTTCAGAATAAGAGAACAGAAAAAAGATGAATTTACATAAAATGATAAATTGGCTATATAAGCCAATTTAAAGCCCAAATTTTACATGTTAAGACTGGATGCTTTCCAATTAAGTTTCCATATCAACACCACTTTTCTACTTCAAAATAGTAGAAAATGGAATTATGAGTACAAAACTTACATACTATTATATAACAATTCAGTATTGTTAACTCTCAATCTGGAGCAGAGTTAATTAGTTTGCAAATTAAATGTGGGGAAATAAGTGATTTATGAGAAAGAAATTTAAATTACTAAGAAATTAGGAGAAACATTCATATATTAGAAGGAATCTATTTCTTAGAATTACATAGTAATAAGCAGATGCCCCAGTGTTCCTGTCTTCCTTCAGGGACTTCTATTGACAACAACTTCTCCCTGAGCTAGGCAGCGGTAGACAGCTATCAACAGGATGACACTTACATAACAGCAATACAGAAGTGGAAACAGTAATGGTGGTGGTGATCAAAGCATCAAGAAATAAAACAATGTACCCTAAACTTACCTCCTGTTCGAAGAGCTGCAGCAAGCATCTCCCTACACTTTAACCTCACAGAATCAGAAGTGCTTGGTGCCCGAGGAAAAGATGAAACATAAGTATCTCGAGCATTTGTTTCATCCTTTCTGCTGCTTACGATGCCACTGGAACTACTAAAATACAATAATACACACACACACCCCAAAAATAAATCAGGAAAAACCCTCTTAAAGTAACGACATTATTGTCACTCCATAAAAATAAAATTATTTGCCGCAAATACATGAAATAGTATTTCAGTAAATCTTACATGAGAAAAAAAAAATTTGACTGCACACAAATTATTAAAAAGTTCAAAATTTTTAAATTTCATCAAGATGAGAGACAAGTTTCATGCCTTTTTTAACCAACTAAACATATAACTTTGACTCTTCTTTTAAACTTTAAACAGTATTTTTAATAGAGAAAATATATATGACAGCTCAATAAAATGAGCTTTTCGAAATAAGCAGGGATGAGGGGATGGGGCCAGAGAATGTGAAAGGTCTTGACCAAAACTAGAGGAAAAAAAATGTTTGAAAAACCTGTTCCAATTAGACAATAAGGTTAAAATGAGACAAACATCCTCTTCAGGACAAAAGTCATATGTACTGATGTCATGAAAATACAAAAAGGTCTCTTAATTTCTCCCAAGAAACATCAACTCATATATGGACATCAGGACAGTTTGATAATTTTCCAGTCAACCTAATCATTTCCATCATTTCTAATTAACTTCTTCTATTGAATTTTCACCAAAATATGTTCCTTCCAAAATACTCTTCTGACCAGTTTCAACGAAGTCTTATCACATTAAAGATATCTGCTCTGGCCGGGCGCGGTGGCTCACGCCTGTAATCCTAGCACTCTGGGAGGCCGAGGCGGGCGGATTGCTCAAGGTCAGAAGTTCGAAACCACCCTGAGCAAGAGCGAGACCCCGTCTCTACTATAAATAGAAAGAAATTAATGGGCCAACTAATATATATATAAAAAATTAGCCGGGCATGGTGGCGCATGCCTGTAGTCCCAGCTACTTGGGAGGCTGAGGCAGCAGGATCGCTTGAGCCCAGGAGTTTGAGGTTGCTGTGAGCTAGGCTGACGCCACGGCACTCACTCTAGCCTGGGCAACAAAGCGAGACTCTGTCTCAAAAAATAAATAAATAAATAAATAAATATATCTGCTCCAAACCTTTTCAAGGATTGATTAAATCATTCATCTTCCACAGGTTTGGCTTGCTGCACTGTTGTTAGAACACACCCCCTTGCTTTCTCTCCAAAATATAACTACTATTAAACTTCACAAACAGGTCATTAGGGCAAGATAGGCAAGAACTGACTAAGTTTAGTCAGTTCCTTTCTGAAGCCTCGTCTGATTTCTCCCCTGCCTTCCCAAAGCACTGTCTTCACGAAGGTTTGTACATAACTTTTCATACATTCTTCCCTACCAGACTGAATTTCTATGAGCAAGAACTAGGACTTACTACTCTTTGCATTTCCATTATGTAGCACAGCATCTGCCAGTGACAAATTAATGAACAAAACCAATGATTAAAAAGCCCACTTCCAGCTGGGCGTGGTGGCTCATGCCTGTAATCCTAGCACTCTGGGAGGCCAAAGGAGGTGGAGCGTTTAAGCTCAAGAGTTCAAGACCAGCCTGAGCAAGAGCGAGACCCCATCTCTACTAAAAATAGATAGAAATTAGTCGGACAACTAAAAATATATAGAAAAAATTAGCCAGGCATGGTAGTGCATGCCTGTAGTCCCAGCTACTTGGGAGGCTGAGGCAGAAAGATCACCTGATCCCAGGAGTTTAAGGTTGCCATGGGCTAGGCTGACGCCACAGCATTCTAGCCTGGGCAACAGAGTGAGACTCTATCTCAAAAAAAACAAAAAAAACAAAAAACCCACTTCCTAAATACTTTTTGCTTTTGCTTCTCTGTGCCTATAGTCAAATGCCTAGCCCAACCACTGGCAATTGCCCAGGTGAACTGATGGAGACTTCCTCATTAGCTTCACTACTTCTGCCCCACATCTTATATTCTGGTGCATCCTTTCTAAGCATTTAAGCACATTACTTCTCTTCTTAACTTTTTAAAATGTAAAACTCTGCTTAGCCTCAAGTAACTTAGATCTAACCTTGTATATTCCTTCAGATTACCCTCTGGACTCATTTCTCTAATCCCTTTATTTACATCAGTATGTATGTGGATGTATGTGTGTGTGTGTAGATAAATACCAACCACTTACTTTATCAGAGTTCATAGAGCATAGAACACAATGGTTCTATGCTTTTTCAGATAAACTCTACATTTAAACTTCAAGTATCTGAGTACTTAATAAATATACTGAGAACTTACTCTTCCTTCATTATCTATTTAAAATATTTGTCTAGGCTGGGCACAGAGGCTCATGCCTATAATTCTAGCACTTTAAGAGCCCAAGGTGGGAGGATAGCCTGAGTTCAAGACCAGCCTGAGCAACATAAGCAAGATTAAAATGGAGTGAGGTAGTATGTACCGACAGAAGGCTGAGGTAGGAGCCCAAGAGTACTAGGTTACAGTTAGCTATGATCATGCCACTGCACCCCAGCCTGGGTGACAGAATAAGACGCTGTCTCTTAAAAAAAAAATACAGACCGGGTGCGGTGGCTCACGCCTGTAATCCTAGCTCTCTGGGAGGCCGAGGAGGGCAGATCGTTTGAGTTCAGGAGCTCGAAACCAACCTGAGCAAGAGCGAGACCGCGTCTTACTTAAAATAAAAGATTATTGGAACTATATATATACAAAAAAATTAAGCATGGCATGGTGCACATGCTGTAGTCCCAGCACTCGGGAAGTTTGTGGGGCTGAGGCATGTAAGATCGCTTGGCCAAGGAGTTTGAGTGTTGCTGTAGCTTAGGCTGACGCATGGCACCGATCAGCTGGGCACAATATGGATCCTGTCCCACAGAGGGGAGAGAGAGAAGAAAATCATAAACACATAATCTGTGGCTTTTTGTGGTGGCTCGACGCTGTAGCCAAGAGCGGGCGGTTGCTCGAGTCAGGGATTCGAACAGCTCGAGCAGGAGAGAGACCCCTCTCACTATAATAGAGACAGAAATTAATGGCAACTTAATCTTTATTTATAAAAATATAGCCTGTGTGCACTGGTGGTGCTTATGCCTGTAGTCCCTATGTGAGGAGGGAGAATGCAGATGCTTGAAGCCAGTGATGTTGAGGTTGCTGTGAGCTGCTGACGCCATCAGCCTCTGACTTAGCCGAAGCAACATAAGCAAGACTCTGTCATAAAATTATAAAAAACAACAATTCGTCTTATACTTTATATTTTCATGGCGATATACTGGTGACTCCATGCCAGACATGGTATGGGATGTTATACTCATGATCAGAGGCTGAGGTGGCACAATAGCTTGAGCCCAAGGTTTGAAATCAGCCTGAGCAACACAGCAACACACCATCTCTTCAATCTCTTAAAAAAAAAAAAAAAAAAAGCAACTCTGAATGTAATGCAACTGAAAGCATGTAAACAATTCATAAATTATGGCCTGTACTCTTCAAAAATATCAAGGTCATGAAAGACAAACTGAGAAACTACTCCAAATTAAAGGAAACTATACAGATATGATAACTAAACGTAATAGTGATCATAAGAGTTTTTGGACCATCTTTTCCTTTGCATAAAGACTTAATCAGGACAACGTGCTAAATAGATAACATCTTAGATTTTAAAAGTTTGGTACAATGTTAATTTCCTAATATTAATAGCCATACTGTGGTTATATGTAAGAAAATGTCCTTGTTCCTAGAATAAACATTTATGGTCTTAGGTATAAAGGGCATTAGTGTCTGTAAATCACTTTATCTTGGTTCAAGAATAAAATAGTTCAGTAGAATTATATGTACACATGTAAACAGTATGAGAAATATAGATGACGGTTAAGTAAAGGCTTGAACTTCTTGGTACTATCTTCCGTGTTAAAAGCTTAAATTGCGCATAATAAGAGTAGAAAAACTACATAAATGTGATAACAACGGCATTATTC